CCCCACGGGGCCCCAGCGCGGAGGCAGGGCCGCCCCCCACCAGCCCTGCCCCGGGGAGCCACGCAGGCCTCCTGGACGTGGGGGCTCCGGCCTGTCTGGGTTGACCGCTCCCCGTGCCCGGGCAGGTGGACACGCACATTCACGCCGCGGCCTGCATGAACCAGAAGCACCTGCTGCGCTTCATCAAGAAGTCGTACCGCACGGATGCCGACCGCACCGTCTTCCAGGCCAAGGGCAAGACGCTCACCCTGAAGGAGCTCTTCGCACAGCTCAACCTGCACCCCTACGACCTGACCGTGGACTCGCTGGACGTCCACGCCGTGAGTCCTTCCGTCCTTCTAGGGTTTTCCTTCCCTGGCAGTCCCCTCCTTTGCCACCCGGTGCCCCACTCGCCTGGGCCTGACGCTGGGTGGCACTCCAGGGCCGCCAGACCTTCCAGCGCTTCGACAAGTTCAATGCCAAGTACAACCCGGTGGGTGCCAGCGAGCTGCGTGACCTCTACCTGAAGACGGAGAACGCCATCGACGGCGAGTACTTCGCCACCATCATCAAGGTGGGGGTGCTCGGGTGGCAGGAGCCTCGCGGTCCAGCTGGCCCAGCCTGACCGTGCTCCCTCGTGCCCGCAGGAGGTCGGCTCTGACCTGGAGGATGCCAAGTACCAGTATGCGGAGCCCCGGCTCTCCATCTACGGGCGCTCACCCAGCGAGTGGGACTGCCTGGCCACATGGTTCAACAAGCACCGCGTCTACTCCCCCAACATGAAGTGGATGATCCAGGTGCCCCGCATCTAGTAGGTGCTGGGCTTGGCTGGGCAATGGGGGCAGGGGAGCCAGGCCCGGCGGCCGGGTGGCTCACCCCACGCTCTGTCCCAGTGACGTGTTCAGGGCTAAGAACTTCCTGCCGCACTTCGGAAAGATGCTGGAGAACGTGTTCGTGCCCATTTTCGAGGCTACCCTCAACCCACGCGCCAATAAGGAGCTGAGCGTCTTCCTGCGACACGTGAGTGCCACGCAGGGCGTGGTGCTGCGAGGAGGGAACAGGGCCAATGTGGGTCCCATTTTCATAAAGGGGAGGAAGGAGGACCCAGGAAACTACAGGCCCGTTAGTCTTACCTCGATCCTGGGGAAGCTCTTTGAGAAAATGATCCAGGAGCACATCTGCAAGGGGCTGGGGGGAGATTATGCTCAGGGGCAACCACCACGGCAGGTCCTGTCAGACCAACCTGGTGGCCTTCTACGGCCAGGTCACAAAAGCCTTGGACGCAGGTGTCTCGGTGAACGTAGTCTTCCGGGACTTTCAGAAGGCCTTCGACACTGTCTCTCACCCCGTTCTCGTTAAGAAACTGGGGACTGCGGTGTCGACACCCACGCAGTCAACTGGGTCACCAACTGGCTGGAGGGCCGCACCTAGAGAACGGTGGTGGACCTGGAGGGACGTGGGCAGTGGGGTCCCCCAGGGCTCGGTCCTCGGGCCCGCACTGTTCCACATCTTCATCAGCGACTTGGCCGAGGGGGTAAAAAGCACCTGCTCACATTTGCTGATGACACTAAGATGTGGGCACGCTAGAAGGCAGCAATAGGCTGCAATTG